TTGTTGTTGTTGTTGTTGTATTATTGTTATCTATAATTTATATAATTAATCTCCTTGTAGTTCGACCTCGGTCTTACCGGGTTATTTATTACTTTGACACTCTTGTACTGAGGAGAAGATATCAATCTTTTGATCGTGTCAATTTACCATAAATTAAAGGTGTCTTATATTATTAGATATGTTATTATAAAACATGATTTAGTTAAGGAGTTATTGATACTTCAAGTATAAAATGATAATATAAAACCTTAATAAAAATTCATTTTTAAATACTAATCAATTATTATATAGAGAACAAGCATGATTTAATATGGCAAACATACATACTTAATGTTTTAATGTTAAATTGAAATATTATTGATGAAATTAAAGGATATTAGTTATACTAAGAGACTAGTCAATGAAAAGTTAAGTCAAATCACTAATAACTTTTTTAATATTTGAAGGATCATGACACGTTGTAAGATGATGCCCCTGATTTTAATAATTGATAATAAATTAAATTATTTAATTTTATTTAATAATAATTATAATTTATATTTGAGCTAACATATTAGGAACTTAACGGGTTACAAATATTATAAATCATTAATCAGAAATTAAACTAGAATGATTTAATTAAGTATGACTTGATTAAAATATATTTTATAAATTAAGGACTATAATATAATTAATACATAGATTATATTTGTAGACCTAGAAAAATCTAGTGTAATGACTTGATTAAGTTAATTTCTAAAATTATCCTGAATTAATATATGAATATTATTTAAGAGAAAAATTGATATTTTTTTAATTTATAGGGTTTTTTATATTTTTTTATAAATAATAAGTTATACTTCTTATTTAATGTGGGTTGTATGTTAGACAGAAAAATTATGTAAGTCACGTAATAAAAAGCTAACACTATAGGTATAATAATTCATCTCTCCTAAATGGGGATTTAGAAGATTACTAGTGGTTCATATGGATTATCGTTAGAGGCCGAACAATTGGACGATTTGTGATTTATGGTAACCTAATCTTTAAAAAATTATTTAAAATCAAATAATATCAAATTTTTAATTAATAAATTCTTAAATAACTCTGATCTATTTAACAAAATCCTAAAAAAGCCTAAAAAATTTTGTTTTATGTATAATATTTGAGAACCCAATAATTATGCAACTCTTTTCTAACTTTTGCATGCTTGTTACAACTAAAAATTGGATTATATACAAATTGTTAACATGAGGTTAGCAATATTCATATTAGCCGCCAAATCTTTAAGACATCCATGTAACCCTCTTGAAATGTTGCTCTAAACATGTCAACTTGGATTATGTGAATGGATGTGAAGATTAATATGCCTTATTAATTTTTTTATATATATAGAATAGAAATTATAGGTAGATATATATAAGATTAATCTCATTTTACCTCTTTGGAGTTTATAAAATCTATCAAAAAAATATAAAAGTTTATTATTTATTAATGACAACCTAAACTAATTATTTTTATTTTATCTTCTAATAGACAAAAGAATCTTCTCAATAAATGGATGAAATGCTATGAAGTAACTGACAAAAAAAATAATTTTTTGAATAGAAATTGAAAGAACCTATATATATATATATATTAAGAAAGATAAACAATTGAACATTATATAATAATATAGTTTGGCTACGGCACCCACCTCCTTATCTAGCAAGTTTGATAATTTCAAACTATTTAGAAATTTTAATAAGTACAAGGCTTCTTCATCATGTGATTTTAATTTTTATGATTATACTTAAATGAAAAGGAGTAGACTATGCTTAAATATTAATGATTTTAATTTTTAAAAATGCAAGTCATGTTATAAACTTAACGTTTAATTGGTAGATATTGCAATCTTGTACTCAAGAATCATGATCTTAAGTTTTTTAGGTACCAAAAATTATATACTGTAAATTATAAATTACTATTAATATTTTAGTATTTCTATGATGTAAGGACTTCACTATTAAATAAGATATGTATTATGACCTAAAAAATATTTTATTAATCATAAATACCACTTTCTATTTGAGAAGATGGTTCCTCTAAAATATATTATTTGAAAATTATATATTGTAAAGCAAAGAATTTGAACCAATTGAAGAAAAAACATAATTTTTAATGCACAGCTTTTATATTTTTATGTAGTGTTTTTTTCTTTTTCTTATTATTTTAAAAGAAACATAAAAAGGAATTGTTTTAGAAGTTAAAATTAAAGAGTAATTGCAAGGCATATTCAATACGCTTATATTAATCACAATTGTATTAAAAGATGGAATGAGAATAACACAATCCAATCTATAATCTGTAAAATATATAAAAAGGCATCTCTTTATTAAAAAAAAATTAATAGATTGTTAATCCTTAAAACAATACTAGCATTATGCTTTACCTCAATGCCAATATATAATCTTACCTCGTCTTCTACATACAAAAGATACAAACATAATTAAATTTTTAAAATATGCCACAATTTTAATTCCTAAAAAAGGCTAGTCCCGTTTTTTAGTTACATGTATATTTAAATACTACATCAAATCCTAAATAACATGTAATAAGCTTCTTAAATCTTTAATTTGACAGTCAAACCTTTGAAAAGTATAAAAAAAAAACCATATTAAATATAAGGATTTTTGAGTTATATTAAAATTCATCACATCATATTCTTAGTTATTTTTCTCATATTAAATCCTTGACTATTGCCTTGGTAAACTTTAATACCTATATAAATCCTTGGCAAACACTCTGCTAACATTAGAAAAGAAAAAACTACTTTGAACAAATATTCATGTATGTTAAATAATTTCGATTAAAAAAAATTAAAAACATCTATATATATATAAAGTAGTTACAAGAAAAGCACAAGTCATTATACTACTAAAATCACTTAATGCGTTATGGGAGCAGAGAGTAAGGTTGGGTCAAACTCCCATAATTTATGCTAGTTGAATCAAAGATGTAGTGGGAATAGTGGAGGATTGGATTGGATTGGATTTGGATTTTACTCTACTTGATTTTAATTTGAAATATTTAAATTTATCATCTTATTTTGCTTTCAACACAATCGGATTTGATTGAGAACTTTCATTAGGTTTACCTAATGGGTGCCAGCCAGAACTTTTTATTTTTTATATTAATTTTTTAAAAAAATATTCTTAAAAATAAATTATATTTCTATTTATGAATCATAAAATCATAAAACATAATGAATTTCAAATTCATGTATAAACCATAAAAATCCTTCACAAATAATAAGATAAAAATAGATACATTAAGTTCAAAAGTAAAATTAGAACTCCAAAACACTTAAAACAAAAGTTAAAAAATTAATTCTAATTGAGTTAATGAACCTCTATAGGATGCTTCCATATCTTATCATGCTTATGCTTTTTTTTTCCTCATCAAACTTTCCATCCTATCTATTTTTTTACCTATTTAATTATTTTTTAAAAAAAAAAGAAGAAGCAAGAAATGAACGGAAGGGATTAAGTTATAAATGAATATAAAGATATAGATTAAATAATAAGTCTTGAAACTATTAGAACTAATTAATTATGTTATCAAAACTATAGGGACTAAGCTTATATTATAATTAACTCCATTTCGTGATGCCAACGAGGGTGGGAGGAAAAAGCAACACGTAAAATCCAACAGCTAAGACCCAAAACCAACCAGTCAAACAAAGACAATCTAAGCTACCATTCAGCGATCAAAACACTATCACCAGTCATATTTTTCTTCTACAATCATACTTATGCCCGCCTTCGTGTTCGTGGAAACAGCAATTATGGCTCTGTTTTTAGCATTTCTGTACGTTTTCTAGGCACTCATCTGATATTCAGAGCATAGTTGGGATTTCGCTTTCAAACTCAGGATTCAATCTCTCTCCCGATCTAAAACTCTCTCTCTCTCTATCTCCTTCTCTTCGAGATTTCTTCATCGACGGCAATGGCAAGGACAGGAAGCAATAACATACAGGCCAAGCTGGTGGGTATGTCTTGCCCTTTTCTATTTTATTTTTTTTAATGAAATGGAAAACGAAAGATATCATTGATCGTTTGCTTTGATTAACATGTAACACCACACGTATAATTAATTTATTTTCTTGAGAAAAAGATTAATCTTATGTATTTTCTCCGTAGGATTTATTATGCGATTACAAATAGTTGTATCCTTCCATGTATAGATACTTCACGTGCATGCTCTCCTCTGCTGAATATGATTAGCCTTCGTTTAGGATGTTGAAAGCATAGGAACGAAACATCTTTTGAGATGAATCAATTAATTATTAATGACGCAAGAAAATTTTTGAACTGAAATTCATCAAAAGGGTAGAGGTTGAAAGTGAAGGAAGCTTTTACAATTTTAGTCTTTTAATTAATTGACAAGTATTTACTGCAGAAATAGGTGTGGACTTGATCATTAAAAGTTGTTTTACAGGTGCTCCTCGGGGACATGGGGACCGGGAAGACAAGTTTGGTACTGAGGTTTGTCAAGGGGCAATTTTTGGAGTTCCAGGTACCTTTACAATGTGTTTAATTAATAATATAGACACTCACATGATGATGCTCAAAACCTCTCATAGATTAGTAAAAAAAAAAAAAAACACATTTAGGGGTTTCCTTATAGATGAACAGATAAAAATATTAATATTTTGGATTGTAATACTATTTTTATATCACTCAAGTTTTTGTTTTAATTTTATCCTTTTTTTAAATCAAGTTAATTTACTATTAAACTTAATGGTTTTCTTCTGCTGGCTTCATGTGGTATCAAAAAAAAAAATATAATGCTCGATTAATATTTAAAGACCAAGTTGGAAACTAAAATAAATATTTAGAAACTAAATTAGATAAAAAGTAAAAAATAATTGGCGTGTATAACACATATACCAGTGTATTGGAAAGGCTAATCCTTTTTGCTAGTACATGTAGCGATCAAAGACATCTAATGACGACCCTTTTTTGTAACATTTAATACATCTTGGTGTGCTCTTCCTTTCAAGGCAACGTGCATGATAAGGAGCTTTAGTTTAGCTTCACTGACCAATTCTGTTTTTTTTATTTATTCTTTTTTTCTTCTTTTCTCACTTGTCAATTTTCTTCCCTCACTCTTTTCAAAACAGTAAAGTGGGTTGTCATTTATTTTTGGATGTTAATTATGATCTTTATTTTTTTTAATTTTACTATTTAACATTAGATTGGTTAAAAATTAGGCTTTGTATTTTTTTTTATTTTTTATGTAGTTATCTTGGTGTCATAACCTGAGTTGCAAATTTGACAGGCTAATTCATGTTGACTTAAGTTGTTGTTTTTAATTCCTTTTTCTTCATTGAATTTTTTGAACTTCATCTTTCAACACTAGATTGTTTTAGAATTGAGTTTTGTTATTTTTTTTATTTGCTTTTTATGGGTTATCTTAGTATTGTGACTCAAGTCATGTGTTTGACAAGTTAGCTCAAATTGATATGGATTTTTTTATTTATTTTTTATTTTTTTATGATTTTTTTAAATTCATCCTTCACTATTAGATTGATTGAAAATTAAGTTTCATGATTCTTTTAAATTTACTTTTTACAAGATTATCTCATTCTTACTACCGGAATTACAGATTTCATGATCTGACCCAAGTCGCAAGTTTAGCATTCTAATCCGGATCGACTTAAATCTTTTTTCCTATCATTTTTTTATTGTTTTTTTTTCTAAATTTGTCCTTCAACATTAGATTGGTGAGGAATCTTACTTTATATTTTTTATGAAAGGGTATGATAGTCAAATAAGATTATTATATTCTCATCACTGAGGTCATGGATTTTAAAGATTAATTTAATTTAACTTATGTTGTTTTTTTCTTTGTTATATAAAATTGAATATTTTCTTTTAATTTTAACCTTTGATATTTTATTGATTAAGAATTAGACTTCATAATTTCTTTTTACATGCTTTTTATAGGATTATCACAGTTTCATCTAGTTGATATTTAAAAAATTTCATGCAATATATCACTATCTCAATATTTAAAAATGACATTGTCCAATTTGCATCAAATTATTTATTCATGATAAAAAAAATCCTTCTTAAAAGAGTATTAGTAATGCCTAATCATTTTCTTTTATGTTAAGAAAATTAATTTGGCCCATAACACAGCACAAGTCAATAGTATAGCAGTTTTGTAATGCTAAAAATGGCCAAAATGATGAGTTTAGGCAGCTAAAACACATTCAAAACAAGTTGTTTTATAGGTTTAGAAGACTCTTTAATGTTTAAGTTACACTATATTGAAGAAAAGAAGCCTTAGAAAATTATGTATTTACTTTCTATAAGCTTATCTCATTCTTACTACCTGAATTACAGATTTCATGATCTGACCCAAGTCGCAAGTTTAACATTCTAATCTAGATCGACTTAAATCTTTTTTCTTATCATTTTTTTATTGTTTTTTTTTCTAAATTTTTCCTTCAACATTAGATTGGTGAGGAATCTGACTTCATATTTTTTATGAAAGGGTATGATAGTCAAATAAGATTATTATATTCTCATCACTCAGGTCATGGATTTTAAAGATTAATTTAATTTAACTTATGTTGTTTTTTTCTTTGTTATATAAAATTGAATATTTTCTTTTAATTTTAACCTTTGATATTTTATTGATTAAGAATTAGACTTCATAATTTCTTTTTACATGCTTTTTATAGGATTATCACAGTTTCATCTAGTTGATATTTAAAAAATTTCATGCAATATATCACTATCTCAATATTTAAAAATGACATTGTCCAATTTACATCAAATTATTTATTCATGATAAAAAAAATCCTTCTTAAAAGAGTATTAGTAATGCCTAATCATTTTCTTTTATGTTAAGAAAATTAATTTGGCCCATAACACAGCACAAGTCAATAGTATAGCAGTTTTGTAATGCTAAAAATGGCCAAAATGATGAGTTTAGGCAGCTAAAACACATTCAAAACAAGTTGTTTTATAGGTTTAGAAGACTCTTTAATGTTTAAGTTACACTATATTGAAGAAAAGAAGCCTTAGAAAATTATGTAATATGTGTTACAAAGTTTATAAGAAAAGAAAAAATAAAAAGAAGAAAAAATAGTTTTTTATAACAAAAAAAAATAGTTAAAGAGATAATTACTAACCTTAGAGTTCAAGATTACTTATATAACCTTGAATCCACATGGGTATATTTATGCAAGGGTATGATAGTTAATGCACATATCATCTATAGTATTGGCTATCTAAAGACAAAGGTGTAGAGTGACAACAAAATACTATAAAAGCTACCTTAATTCTGTGTTTTTTAGGCTACGTATAATTAATAATAATAATACTATCTATCCTTAAAAGGTACGTTACCAAAAGATGTCCCTTTATTTAATGAACATACATTTTGTCTCTATAGTTGGTGGCAAGTAGACCAAGTTTGGGCAAGAGGTAGTGCATCCAAGGTAACTGTTAGATTTAGGTTCATCTAATTGTAACAATTGAATTCGGATCCCTTAAGTCTTATAGCCTTTTATGTAGACTTGAGCTCATATAAATTGGTTTTGGTTTTGGGTAAGATCTAGAAAGATAAATGCAACTATTATAAAATTGATCCTAAAAGTATAAGTCTTTTCTTCTATGATAAGTAATTGTATAGCTAGAGGATGTCATATATTCTAGATATATGATGACATTAATGGCAAGTATTATTATTAGTAAATCAAGGACACAACTAACTAGTATATGTTCTCCATCTAAAAAAGGTGTTACTTGTCCATCAAAACACACTAATATTTATGGTAGTCATGGTTCATGGTTAAGAGTGTAACACCTAAAAAAGAATGCATTGTTAGCTCGCTAAAGAGGGTATGCGTGACTAGTTTTGTATGAGGACACATGGTCAGTCTAACAAAAAGGACAAGGTCAATTTAGAAAGGTAAGGACTTATGGCTAGTTCATTAAAAGATGTTAAGCAAAAGTCGATCCACCAATGAGGGATAGATGACAAGTCTACCTGCCTAGACTGGTAGTTTACCATAAAGGAATGCACAGTCAAACCATGATATGAAGAAACATGTTATTATATCCCATAAAAAGGGTACGTGAAGCTAGTTAAGTAAAATATATACATGGCTAGTCTAACAAAGGGAATATATGACCAGTCCATCAAGAAGAGAGGGATAAAGAGGCTAACTACTTAGACAACTAGTTTATAAAAGGAAAACATGTGGCTAAGACATATTAAGAAAAGACATGTTTTCAAGTATCAAATAAAGAGGCTAACTACTTAGACTAAAAGGAAAACATGTGGCTAAGACCTATTAAGAAAAGACATGTTTTCAAGTATCATTAAGGTAAGATTTGTAATAAGTCTAAAGAGGTGGGGGCCAGTGTTTGATCTACTAATAAGGGGCTAATGAATGGTCCACCAAGATAGAACTCAAGGTTAATCCAAGAGAAAAGCATGACCAATCCATTGAGAAGGGATTGAGGATAGGTCTAGTTGCTTGAATAACCAATCCATTATAAAGGAATGTCTAACCAAACCTTATTGAGAAGAGACACATTATTATGTCTTATAGTGAGGGATGGATGATTAGTCCAAATAAGTGGGATATACAACCAGTCCATCAAGAGAGGATGTGTGGTTAATTCATCGATTGGGGATTTAAGGTTTGTTTATAGGGGTGCATGGTTAATCTACTACTTAGATATTGGAGATAAGTCTAACTATTTGAATTATTAATCCATTAATGGGTAACGTGTGGTTATTAAAAGAAAATTTTGAAAGAAAGGCTATGTAAGGTGGTTTTCCATCATTGGAGGATAATTTCCTTTATACCTAGGCAAGGTTTTCATTTATATCTAGAAGGAATTTAGCATTTAACCTTTATACCTAGACAAGGTGGTTTTTCATTATCAAAAAGAGATTGCCTTTTTACTTAAACAAGATAGATGCCTTTATACCTAGGAAAGGTAGCCTATTATTATGGAGGAAAATAGCATTTATACATGGAAATAATGGTTTTTCTATGCTTAGAGGGAGAATGATATTATACATAGAAAAGATGGTTCATTATATCAAGGGAAATATAGTCTTTATACTTAAGCAAAATGATTTTTTCATGACCTAAAAGTGAATGTATTTAAACTTAGTCAAGATAGCCTCTTATATTTAGTGGGATATAGCCTTTATAATTCAGCGAAGTGGTTTTTTTATGTCTAATGGTGAATTTTTTTGTACCCGATAAGGCCTTTTACCAGGGGAGATAGCCTTTATATTTAGAAAAGATAGTTTACTAATGATTGAAAGGTCGATGTCTTTATATCCAAGTAAGGTGATCTCTTGTACCTAAAGGGATATAGCATTTTACCTAGGTAGAATGATTTTTTCATGACCAAAGAGCGAATGTCCTTATACCTGAAAAAGTGATCATAGGTTCCTAAAGTAACGAAGTCCCTAAAGACCAGGATTCTTAGAGAAAAATGATTATTAAAAAAAATGTGATGCTTAGAGAAATAAGATTTCTAGAGGAATATGATTATTAGAAAAATGTGATGCTTGGATGAATATGATTGTTGGTTCTAAGTGAATATGGTTCATAAAAAATCATTTCTCAAAAAATATTAGATTCTAAGATTGGATGATCAAGTGAGGAAAAAATATATACATGAGTTTTTTAGGCTAGACGATCAAATAGATAGAAAGAGATATTTAATGTTCTAATACTTGATGTCTAGGCAAGAGAGGATGTACATTTGAGGTTCTTGAATTGGATAACTAGGTAAATAACAAAGCGTGTTTGAAGTTCCTAGGTTATTTGGCTAAGAAGGTGGAGAATGGATACTAGACTAGGTAATGATGGACTTGGATATATGTATAGCTGATGGGGAAGATTTTACTGCATGATTTATGTTTCATCTCTCTTAAAAATAAATATTTTCATTTATTGTTTTGATTGACGTGCTTAGTTTATATTGAGCCTTTTTGGCCTCACTTATCAGATAGATGACTTATTAGTTTTTTATGTTATCAAAAAGTGGTTAATGAAAAAATCTATGATAAATAAGGTTGGATAAGAGATTAGTTTTATTTGAATAACACATATTATACTTGAGCAATTGATTACGGTAAACTATTATAAAAATTTTGTTGCCAGTAAAAAGAGATGAGGTTATCCTTGAACAACCATAGTAGGACTCATCTATAAGTTTGATGTCTTGTTTTGATATTTTTTTCTTAAATCATAATCTCTTAAAAGTTTATTAAAAATAATTTATTAGTGAGATCAAATGAGTAGTATCATATGATCATTAAATATAAATTAATAAATACACCAAAAATATAAGCAATAAAGACAGTATTGGGTATCTAGCATTTCATACTTAATCACATTTGTTCCTAGTTGTAGTGGTGATACATATTGTAATGAAAAAGAACTAATAATTTTATATTTCTCTCTTGATGAAATGAAATATCATAAAAAATGAATATTTTAAATAAATATAGTAAGTATAAAGGTTTGCTTTATTTAATATAAATTGCTATACCATTTGTTACAAAAACCATTCATATTATGACAAGATTTTTTAATAATCTAAATGTCAAAGGATTGGTTTTCATGTGAAATGAAGTGTGGACAATTTACTATAGTCTTGAGAGGGAGAGGGAGACTTTATGACTAAGAGTTTTTCTTATACCACTAAAGCATTTCCAAAAATATAAATGTTCGAAGTTTGTATGATCATCTAATAAATTAAGATGACAAAACTTGCATTCTTTTTTTTTCACTTTGGTAATATCTCTCTCTTTCTCTCGAACTAAACCAATTTATAGAATCAAAACTCGTTATAAAAGGTATCATTTATAAATAAGAATGAATAGGTGGAATTATTGACTATGATAAATAGATTTGTTCATCAAGCTAAATGATGAGCTGGAATACTCATAGTTTTCATCTCTTTATCTTAATTATTGAGCTTTTATGTATAATGTAATTGCATGAGTGGTTTGTAGAATTTTGGAAAGCTTGAAACATTATAGTTGCATTGGATGGTGATTCCTTCTATTAATGTGGTTGTTATGTCATGAGTCTTTTCTTATCATATCTTAAACCTCTATTTGGAAACCATATTTCAAAATAACAATAGCGATTTTTATAGGAATTGTGAAAATAACGATGTTCCCTCTTACTTTTTACTACATAAATTTACCCTTCAAACTCTCTAAAAAATAAGTTATTTGCACATAATATAGAGTAAAGGATATGATACTAACATAAGAGCTAGATATAATAGAGAAGGTAAGGCCTTCAATTGCTTTTATATGCTTATAAGGACCTTTGTAAGCATCTTTACTTATTGAATTTACTTTTAAAAATCTTGAAATATTAGTGAAGCACTAGTAGTTTGGAGATATGTTACTTATAGAAGGCTTAATTCTATAGGTCTCATACCATTTGAACTAATTTTATAGAAAGCATAGTTTCTTGTAACTATTTGAACTCTAATAGACTCTCAAATAAAATCTTATATATATTGTTTGAGTTATTTTTGTTGTTGTTTTATGGATTGTGTTATTTTTATATTTTTTGCTTATTTTTATTTTTGTTTAGGAATTTTAATTTTTTTCCTTGTTAAGATGGGTTTCATGTATATTTAAGAAATTATAAACTTTTTAGAGACTAGATCTTATTATACTTTATTTTTAAAAATAAAACTCGATTTAGAGTTCTTACAAGATAACCCTATTTTAATCAATACTATGTCTTTTTGTTCATTTATTTTCTTGGTTGCTGGTTGTGTTTGTGTCTGGATTAGAATGTCATTGAGCCTCCATCAAAAGACATTGTCTTATTAATTACTATTGAAAACTTAGATCCAATTTGATGGGTTTTGTAGGAAACTCAAATGTCATTCTTCATCGATATGTGTGTGTGTGTGTATCTTGGTATTGGAAATAATGCTATAATGCTGGCATTGGTTTTGATTCCTACATTACGAAGTTTACTTCAAGTTTTTTCCTATTTCATTCAAATCCACACAATCCGATCGATGCTGGTATTATAAATTCCTCAAAAGTTGATTAATGGTCTCTAGCTAACATGATTGTAATATTTAGGAATCAACAATTGGAGCGGCCTTTTTCACTCAAGTTTTGTCATTGAATGAGGCAACTATTAAGTTTGACATATGGGACACAGCTGGGCAGGAACGGTACCATAGCTTGGCACCAATGTACTATCGCGGTGCAGCTGCAGCCGTTGTGGTATACGATATCACAAGCATGGTAGATTTTTATCAACCATCTAATTGTTCTATGCTTTAGTATATTAATTATTAGCTTTTACTTGTTTACTTGTACGTATGTTCTTGTGTGTCTAGAATAAAGTTGTGCAAAGAATTCATCATTGTAATTCGATATTAATTAATTCTTGATTTAGCTTAACCCTCGTATGCGTGTCTCTGAATTAGTTACATATAACCAGTGACGAAACTTGTCACCCTTGCATGAACATTGTAGAAACAACAGCAAGAAACATCTCCTCAGGTTCGATAAATTATGAAATATAAATGCAAGGATTGTCTTTTGGTCGGACATTGATGATTGGCCTATCCGTACAAAATGTGGTTCCATTTCATGTTTTGTCGTCTCAGAAATGTTGGTATTCACAAATATTCTGTGAATTTATTAGCTGGGTTTTGCTTCATGCCTATGATGTATGTCCTCTTGATTGAAACATCTAAGATTTTTAGTTTTCTTAGAAATCATTTTTGTTGTAATTTCCTTTGTTACATCTCTTGATTGAAACATGTTTTATCTTCAGGATTCATTTCAACGAGCTAAAAAGTGGGTTATTGAATTGCAGAGACAAGGTAACTAGCTGCTTTTTTCTACTACAATGAAACGAGTAATATACCATTCTCTAAAATCAAAAATATGCGGGGCAGAGACTCAAACATTTACCATTCTCTACAAAGATTTTTTTTCCGAAATCTTCACCGTTTTCTACTCTCATTCTTCTACAACAATCTCTCAAGCTGCTTACCATAAGTTAAATGCTGTGGAACCCTAATAGATCTTCTATGATGGACCCCAGACCAATCTATCGTTTCACCAGCACAACATGCTAGCTATGTTTTATGTTCCCAGGATACAAGAAAACCACATGTGCTTGGTGATGTTCTATCATCAATGTACCTTTTCAGCCTTCAATCTTACCATATCGTCTTTGTGCTCCCAGTATTTATAAAGTTATACACATTTTTAAGAAGATCTTTGGTTTAGACCGTTTGGTTTTTGATCCGGACAAGGATTTACATGAAACGGTCCAAGTGGAAGTCCTCTAGTGCTATTAATTAGAATAGAAATGAGAATTGAAGTGAGATTTTGTATTAACAAATTAATTTATGCTGTTCTGTGCCGTATCAGGAAATCCGAATCTGATAATGTTCTTAGTAGGCAACAAGGTTGACTTGCAAGAGAAGAGAAAAGTTGGCATCGAGGTACTTCCACGATTAATCTACATTGTTTTCGCTTCCGTTTTTCTCTGGTTGAATAAATGGACAACCAAATTAATATCATCGTATATAAAATGCCTGTGGACAAGGCCACATTTTATTTGAGAAGGTAAAGTACATGAGACATGGGAAATACGTCAATGATTCAACTAATTAATGATGCAGGAAGGTGAGCAGTATGCTAAAGAAAATGGAATGGTATTCCTTGAAACATCTGCGAAAACCACCCAGAATGTGAACGAGCTCTTTTACGAAATAGGTAATTTGTTTATTTTGTTGAATGTTGAGAGGCTATTCTTATTCTTCTCTTGGATCAATTATTGAGGTTTCCAGCTTTAATTCTCTATCTAGTATATATGCAATGTTGAATATAATGCTAGCTAGAAACAAAGGAGGAAATTGAACTATGATAAGTCCAAAATTGCATGGTTAAGTTCTGTCGGTTGCTTTATTTTGGCAGTAGAGTAGTTGTTGTGGCCGCGAACATGATCAACCGTTCCAAATGTAGTGATGTGCGCTAGCTGTTGGGATATATATAATTCAAATCTGCTCTTCTTGTTTCTCATGCAAACTTGCCTTGTTGCAGCTAAGAGATTGGCCAATAAAGCCCCCTCACGTCCAATCGGAATGAAATTGCATAGGAGACCTCAAGAAACTGGAAGGAGAATGTTTTGTTGCTCCTGAAGAATGATGATACCCATGCTTGACATATACTTGGGTATGCTAGGCAGCTTCTCTGTAGTGGATTCAATCATTACTTCAAGTTTTACGATCCTAAATCAAAACAATTTTCCTTAAATACAGATTTGTCGTTTGGCCTGATATCTTTTAACAGGATTAACCTGGATCTTGTCTGCGGATGTTGCTCTATCAGATTGGAATGCATTGTGGGCCATCAGATTTGAAGATTGAAGATGCTCTCAAGGAAAAAAAACTTCACATGAATATCTGTTGTATGCGTGTTGTTACTTCTCACTCAGAAGCTTTGTCACATTTGGAAATAAATACTCTTGTGCTGGAAAAAACTGTGGAACGGATGAATAAAGAAACATGTCACGTAAATATGTGATTATTTATTTGATCATCTAATAAATGTACTCGTGCAAATATCAGAGTTTGTCATTATGTCAATATTTAACATCAGAGTATTCACAAGCAAACACCAACATTATGTAAAATTTGACTAAGGAATAATCTTCGCACGAACAAATGTGATGCTGGAAAGTTTTTCCTCGTACTAGCTTATGTTAATGTGAATAATTATTAATCTTATTATTGAATCAGGATGAAATTATACTTGAAAATTTCAGAGATCTTCTCTGTTGAAATTTCATATTCACTAGAGTTTAAAAGGGTATTCTAATCATATCTAGAAATTACTATTTGAAATTTGTTATATTTTTCTAATTCATTCAGGATTTTTCTCTTTTATTTGGTTTAAAACTTTTTTATTATTTTTTTTACTATATTTAGGATTTTTTTCTAATTTATTTAGAATTTTTATTACCTTTTCCTTTATTTTTAGGTTTCCTTGTTAGTTTAGGTTAGATTTTACATTTATTTAAGAAGTTGTAAACCTCTTAGAGAGGTAGACTAGTTGAAAAGAAATATTTAGTAAAAAATTTTAAATTAATATTTTTATGTTTTTGGGTTTCCTTATTAGTTTAGGTTAGATTGATTTTAAGTTTATTTAATGAGTTGTAAACCTTTTAAAAAGGTTGACTTCTTAAAAAGTAATATTTAATAATAAAATTTCAAATTAACGCTTAAAAAGTAATATGACACGACTAAAAGATTGATGTCGTTTCTATATTGTTGGGTTTTCTTGTTGGTTTCGGTTGGATTTTAGGTTTATTGAATGAATCGTAAACATCTTAAAAAGATAGATTACTTGAAAATAAATATTTAGTAATAAAGTTTCAAATTAATATTTCTATATTTTTTACTTTTCTTATTGGTTTAGGTTGGATTTTAAGTTTATTTAAAGAGTTGTAATCCTCTTAGAGAGGTAGACTACTTGAAAAGAAATATTTAGTAATAAAGTTTCAAATTCATGTTTCTATATGATCACTATTTGGTAGAATTTTGTATTCTTGTACTTATTATCTTTCGTGTGTTGCTTCTATTTATGGCAATTGGTGTCGGAACCCAACGATCTTGATGCTTATTTGCTTATTATATATTAGAACAGGTAGTATAAGAGGATGTTCTTGTGTATGAGGGGATAAGAAGGTTTCCCTTAAAAAAAAATGTTTAGGAACTAATAATTAAAGACATGTAGAGACAGTTTGTAGAATTGAAAAGAGATGTGTTAGAAGATATGTGAATACGAATTACAAAATTGATTCATCAGTTAATAGAGGGTAAGAGCCTAAAGGATCATGAGAATGGTATTCATGAATCTATTACTAGTTTTGAAAATTCATTTCAGAAGCATAAGTAGAGGACTCAACGTCTTGATCAAGATGATTATCATTAAGATATTGGTGATTATGTTTATGGTAAGATAGATGTGATTGATATTCTCCACCAATTTATAAGATTTATTTGATGATGATATCATAAACATTGATAAAATAGTAGTGATGATATTATTGATAGTGTTTTTGTTGATGAGATAAATGTTGAGTGCAAAATACACATGAAAAGCGTTTACCAAAAGAAAATTATTGATTTAAACTATGTTGATCCTCTTGATTACAAGGTTAATGTTATCACAAAGGTATAAGTGATCAAGAGTTATATGGACACAATACATATTGATGAAGTAAGTTTAAGGTTTACAATTTATTACTCTAGAAGCCCATGAAGAGAAATAATACGTCAATTGTTTTTTACACAAATTTTAAAATGAAAGGACTAAAAATTGGTTTCGAAAATTGTTATATATTTAAAGAAAAAGAAGAAAATAAGTTAGAGAGTCTTAATTGGATGTCCAAAAGATCAAGGCAAAAGCAATTTGAATTTAAAGACGAGTTCTCTTCAACCTATAGAGATTGAAGAAAAAAAAAATTTAAACATAATTTTATGTTAATAGATATAATTATTAATCCGCCTATTGGATCAAACTAAAAGATTGTTAGAAGATTCCAAAGGCCTTGTTTCCTTCAAAGTTAAAATCCCATAGCCATCAAATTTCAGGAAAACCTCTCAATAAGGCCTAAAAGTTATTATTTGAAATTTGTTATATTTTCCTAGTTGGTTTATGATTTTTTTTCTATTTGTTTATTATTTTTTTAACTTTATATAGGGGTTTTTTCCTAGTATGTTTAGAACTTTCATTAATTTTTTTTTTTTTTTAAGAAGTTGTAAATCTCTTAGAGAAGTAGACTACTTAAAAAGAAATAGCCATTAATAAAATTTCAGCTTAGGATTTTTGGGTAATCTTTGTTTAGTAGAATTTATGTGTTATCTGTCTTTCTTGTGTTGCTTTTATTTGCGTCAATACAATAAAGATAAAAATATAAACAAGAAAATAACAAGCTAGAAAGACATAATTAGATCTGAATAAGATTTTCACACAAAATTCTAATTCACAATTTTATTACTGAATATTTCTTTTTATATAGTAATATATCTAATATGCTTACAACTCCATACCTAAACCAACAAGGAAACCTAAACATAAAAAAACAAAAAAAAATAAAAGTCCAAAAACAAACTAGGAAAAAATGTCCTAAATAAATCTAGAAAAATTAATAAAAGAGTTTGAATCCAAATAAAAAAAAATCATAAATCAACTAGAAAAATATAATAAATCTTAAATAGTAACTTATGGATCTTCTTTGAAGGTCTTCCCAAAATCCAAAGGAAATAAAATTTTAACCCTAAATAAAAAAAGGACTCTGAAATTTTCTAAAAGATTTCAATATGATCTAACAATCAAATCGATGGTTATTTCCATTAACATTAAATTTACATATTATAAAAACATTTCCTACGTCAGTCTTCCCGAGTTGAAGAACTCATTTTCAAGTTCACATTACTCTTGGATATACAATCAAAACTCTTTAGCCTCTTTTCTTCTTTTTCTATTTGTGTATAGAAACTTTAGACATCAATTTTAGTCTCTTCATCTCAAAGTTTATATAAGAAATAACATTGGACATATTATTTCTCTTCAATTGACTCATACAATAATAAATTGCAAACCTTAAACTTACTTCATCAAAAATATGTTGTGTTTATATAACTTTTGGAAACATCTACTTTTGTGATAACATTAATATTTTAATCAAATGATCAACATAGTTTAAATGAACAGCTTTTTTCTTAAAAACTTTCAATATTTTCTATGCACTTAATCTATATCTTATTAACAAGGATATCATCAATAATATTTTTATTATTTTTATTTTTATTATTTATGATATCATCATTAACATAATCATCATTAACATAATCATCATAAAAAAATAAAAATAAAGCATCATAAGTTGGTGGAGAATACCAATGCACATTTATCTTACTATAAACAAAACTATCAAAATCTTCATGGTACTCATCTCGATCAAGAAGATATCCCCTTTGTTAATGCTTTAGAAATGGGCTTTCAAAACTACCAAGGAACTCATTATCACTTTTATCGTGATTGTTATGGCTCTTTATCTCTATCAACTAACAAATTAATTTTACAATATATCTCTGCATATCTTATATCACTAGTTCTTGATCATATCTTTTCAATTATGTAATTTGTCTTTGTATATTTTTTATCACTAATTCCTGAATATCTCTTTCTCAATGACGAACCTCATTATCCTCTCCTACAAGAACATGACATGTTTTTCTACCTATTCCATATATGGTTATTATAGCACAAAGCAAGCAAATAACCATCAGTGTTATTGTACTTGTTGTTTTTCATACATTGCTTTTATTTGCATCCATCAGTGTTATTGTACTTTTTGTTTTTCATACATTGCTTTTATTTGCATCAATGCTAATGCAAATGCAAACATAAAAAAGAAAACAAGTTAAAAAGATAAAATTAAAGCCGAATGGGATTGTCATACAAAACTATAATTTGTAATTTAATTATTAAATATTTTTTTATTTTAGATAGTCTCATGTCTGTGAGGTTTATAGCTCCTTAAATAAAATTAAAAACTTACCTAAACCAACAATCTAAAAACAAAGAAAAAGCAATAAAAGTCCTAAAATAACTAGGAGAAAAACATTCTAAATAAATTTGTCACATAAAAAAAAAGCTAAAAAGATAAAATTAAAGCCAAATGGGATTGTCATACAAAACCGTAATTTGTAATTTAACTACTAAATATTTTTTTTATTTTAGATAATCTCATGTCTATGAGGTTTATAGCTCCTTAAATAAAATTAAAAACATACCTAAATCAACAATTTAAAAACAAAGAAAAGGCAATAAAAGTCCTAAAATAACTAGGAGAAAAACATTCTAAATAAATTTTAAAAAAAACAATAAAAGAGCTTTAATCAACATAAAAATAAAAAAAATTATAAATCAACTAGGAAAATATAACAAATATTAAATAGTAACTTATGGGCCTTATCTTGCAAAATATTAACCTAAAAGAAACAATGTATTTAGGATATCTCGTAAAATTTCAGTATAATATAATAATTGAATAAAAAATATGAGGGAAAGAATTCTCCATCAAAATAAACTTAAGCAAAACAACCAAAGCCAAAGTAAAACCTATCTTTATTATCTAAATTTACCATATTGATTATAATATTTAATGAATTGACTATATTTGGAAATCTTGAAATCTTTTTTTCCTTGAGTAATTATGAGGTGAGTCCATTATTAATCTATATTGGATTATATCTCTGAGAAGCTTAGCAAGGTTGCATCCAAGTTCAATATATATCTTATACACATTTATGACTAGTTATGTTTCATAATGAAAAATTATGTTTCATACTTTTTTATATGCAAATCATAATTGGCTCAATTATATATATTTCATATTAATTAGGAATTACGATAAATGAGGAATTACAATAAATGAAATTGAAATCCTTTTAATGCCCACCATTAGATAATGTTTGGTACATGTACAAAACAGAAGTGAAATAATATATATAAAAAAAAAAGATGGAATAAAAGAAGTTATATGTCATAGTAGAAGCTTTTACTCTTGTATTTTTCATTATAAATTATGTTAAAAATACTAAACAATACATAATCTTTGCTATTTTATTCGTGCATTGCTTAAAGGCTAAAAGAATAGATTTAAGTATAATATTCATAAGTGGGCTTTTACATTATGTATTGGTTAAACTAATAGTGGATAAAATAATGCATAATCTAGAAGTTTTTACTCTTGTATTTGTCATTATACAACATGTTAAAAACACTAAACATTTCTTTTAGTTTATTTGTAATATGCATATTATACTTATTTAATAATGTTAGTAATAAAAAGTTTTTGCTCCACAATATAAAATAATTACCAAAATAAAGGGAGATTATTTAATTTTTCTTCAAATTAATAAGAAATATTAAACAAATGTAGATTTAATTTGGTTAATTGATTTTTTATTGTAATAAGTTACAAAAAAATAAAATAAATTATACTTTACCTTAATAACTAATTTTCATTCAAAGAAAGTTTTATAATACAATTATATATCTAATAAATACTTTAAGAAACTATATAGAAAGAAAAAAAGACATGGGTCACAAACCAATTCCATGAGTTGATGGGCTTGGAAGCAAGCCCAGAGATGCTCGGGTTGGAAGGCCATCCAGAAGCAAAAATGATGTGCGTTCACTTATTTTTTTAAAGAGTCGTAGGAATCTAGTCTAATTGCCTGCCAGGCTGCCACCATCCAAATATAATATTTGAAGTAAAATTGCTTGAAAATGACCCCCTCAACCTCCTAAGCACAAATCTAATAGAAAATGAACACAAACTCAAATTATTAATGATTTTATATCTAAAATTTCAAATAATTTTTATTTTATTTTTAAAAATTTATTTTTAGCATCTATATATTAAAATAATGTAAAAATAAATAATTTCTTACAAATCTCCAACAAAATACATATATATATATATATCCGCGCACTACTAAAAGGCGGGGTATTGAGATTGGGAGCAAAAGCAAGGATGAACTGACATAAAAAGAAAATAAAATTAATGAAACTGCCAGGCAAGTTTCCAACACATCTTTATGCAGCTCAGACCACAAACTGGACAGCATTTGTGTCTTTTTAACCTTGTGGGCACGACAATGGCAAAACTGGGTGTTGCCCGAATCACTCAACCATTCCTACGGCCAAAAAAGGTCTGAGAAATTATTAAGGCAGTGCAGACAGTGAAGCTTCTTCCACATCTGGAAAAAAACAACACAATATGACTGGCCTCCTGGTCTGGTCGTATTCTACAGTGGACAAACACCTCGCAGGTGACAGTTTGTTTTGTGCTTTTCATGCATCGAGACAGGAATCCGAGGTCCCTCAAAAACAGATATCTTTTTTTTTAATTTTTCTATTCCAATCCTGACCTCTTCACATGCGTCTACAATAAAAACAAACAAAAATCAAAATTAATGCTTGGTTGGTTGGTTCAGTCTTCCACCAGAACCCAGTTGGAAGTCCAAAAACACCCCGTACAATTACAAGCAGATGAAACCAGAGAGGCATTTCTGCAGAGTGAAGATAGAGAGAGAGGGGGGGACTCCCACTTGACCTAAAAGATTATTCTATTTAGCATAAGCGCGGGCTCGGGTGACCGAGCAGTAGCCATGTCAGCAAAAGAGAAAAAAAGGTGGTAGGGACTTCTTCACTCTAGCTTTCACCGTATTCACAATGCAGGCATGCAACTCGTAAAGGTTAACATAAAATTAAATGCTAATCACCATGAAGGAGATGTGCATGGAGAGCCTGAGGATGATGATGAGAGGCCATTGTTACTAACAGAATCACTCCCTGAAGTGCCCAGAGACCTTGCATCTCTCAATGAAACTGAACAAGCCTTAGCTGGGAGCTTCTTCATTGGAGTCAATGGAGGGGTCCCGGGGACTGAATGTGGAGCAGATGGGGATGGTAAGGCTATTTCTTCTTCACCTGAACTAGAACCGCATGTTTCCAAACGTGATGGTGAAGAATCAGGAGTTTCATATGGGGTATCCACCCTGCTTGGTCTGCTTGCATCATTGTCGTAAATGGGATTAGATATGTAAACAAGATGTTCTCCACAACCAGCACATTCCCTGTCGTTACAGGCATTGCTGCTCCTAATTTGAACAGGGATTTCGTCAACTTGATGGGGTGAAGATACCAAGGCAGTTGATGGAGGTGAAATGTTTATGAGACCAATTTGCTGGGGGCTGAGACCTGGGTTTAATTCTTGGGTATGGACTTCGATGACACGATGAAGTTGAGAGCGTTCTTTTCTTGTTTCTGCCAACTTGTTTTCTGTGCTGGGTGAAACTGCAGGGAATAAGAAACTTCTTGGTGCCCGAAGGACCCCTTGAGCATAGTAGCTTGATGGAGGAAGAGAAGGCGGTTGATGATGGGGTTGTGGTGACTGCGACAGGGAAGTATTGGTGGTGGATGTGGTGGTAGAGGTGGCAGAGGTGGTGCTGGTGGTGTTGGAATGTGGTGGTAGTGGTGGCAGAGGTGGTGCTGGTGGTGTTGGAGGTGGATCTTAGTTGACGCCGGCGAAGTAAAAGACTGCAGTAAAGCTCAGCTAGCAGCACCAGAACTAGGGCCAAAACAATGGCAAGGCTCACCACCATCGCCAGTGTTGCTCCCATTATGACCTTGGAGGAGCCCTTCATCTCTCTCTCTCCCTCTCTCTCTGTGTGCGTGCGCGTGAAGCGTGGAGTAAGAGGCAGTAAAAGAGGGGCTTGTAATAAAAGGCAGTACTTTTATGCGAGAAGCTTTTCGTTTTTGGCGGGAAACAGTACTTTTCCTTCGACAAGGATAGCAGGCAGGAACCGAGGGCATGGGAAATTTAAAGGGCTTTTTGTTCTGATCTAGTGGGGTTTCTCTGACATTCGAGGTCATAAGAGTCATTGAACACGTAACCATGAAAAAGTACAACGCCCTCTCTCAAGTAATTGCTATTATGAAAAGGAAATGTTTTACAGAAAGACCAATCTTAATCTCAACTTCTCTCGACCAATGGGTGAAAGTTGAATAGAAATAGAACAGATATTACAAGCTATGTAAACGCCAACGTCAATAGTAATGCCAGTGTGAACCACAGCGCCCCCTATCAATCACAGAGGATTAGAAATCACAAGTAGAAAAAGCCAACCTGCTACTTCAGTGAATACAAGTAGAAAAGCCCTGATTCCTCCTCAAAGAACCACTCTCCAAGGAACACGTTCAAGATTCCGGCTAGAGCATGCGATCATGGCAATGATAAAAGATTCTGAATCTGATTGTTCAATGATTTTACCTCCCCTTCAAGGCTGCAAAACGGGCTGCCAGGTCGTCGTAATCTGGTAACTTCGGATGCACATGCCGAGCTGCGCTTGATCTGTCTGGCTGAAAAGAAGCAGCTCGAGTAAACAATTTCATTGCCTCTGATGAATTTGTTTCGCGAGGAAGTGAAATGGATCGGGGTGGTGCAGAAACCGTCTCTGAGATTTCATCAGGCCCGTCCCTGCTGGTATGCCGTGGGGATTTATCTGCCTCGGTAGTGCCTTGCTGATGTGGGTGACGGCTTTTTGATTTTCTTCTCACCACATTTCCAGGTTCATACGCAGAAGGTTTCTTGCTGTAATGTATCAAAAGTTTATCTATCATCCTTTCTTCTTCATCATTCTGATAGTGTTCATCATCAAACAAGATTTGCAGGCCTTTTCTTGAGTCATCCCCCCTTCTCCTGCTCCTTGACCTCCTCTTCACGCCACCTGTATCTTCTAAATTTCCAGCATCATCATGAGTGGAGTGTGACTTTGAGTGTCTCCGCCTCATGGATCTTTGTTTTGGTATGGGGTTACCAATACCATCATTCTGATAATAATTACTTTTCTCAAGTCCATCATCATCTTGTCTTGTAAGTCCAACATTCTGCTTCTCATGATCCGGCAGATACGATCCTTGTTGGATTTTCTCCAAGCTATTCCAAGAATTGGCTATGTTATCCCTTGAAGGATCTTTCTGAACTGCATTAATGTCAGAACCAATCTGGGAAGACCCTACACTGGCTCCATGCCTGGTATCCTTCAGTTTAGAATTAGTTTTAGTGTAGGGAGGGGGGATAGCATTGTTATAGTAAGGTTTCAGCTTATGTGCTTCTTCCTTCAAAACATCTCTTGTTGAGTTTTCCATTTTGTGTTGTCCACCATAATTGTTGTGTGCTGCCAATGAATCATTGTTTGACCATAATCCTCCATAATTAGGAGTGATATCTGGTTTTCCACGAATTATTGTGTCCTTGTCATCTCTTTTAGGAGCAGAATTCTCCCTACCATCTAGCATTTTGGGTCCACCATCCACACTTTCCATTCTTTTCCTTTGAGATGAACTACCTAGCCTGACAGTTTTCAGGGGAGTATCCTCCTTCCAAGGTTGATGTTTCTCCAGTGTGGCTTCTTGCCTTCCCTGGAACAGAATGTCCCGGCTGTCCCTTCTAAAGACAGTTTCTTCCCTGGCCCTGACTGGCTCGTGTTTCTCACACTCAAGTCTTTCTTTCGATGGAAAATCATGTTTATGTCCTTTTGGGATGGTGTCCTTGTCATTATTAGGCATGTATCTGTCATCATTGCTGTGTAAACACCCATGAATTTTAGCATGGTCCTGCAAAACAATCAGCCATAAGGAAGACACAGCTTACTGCCACCAAAAAAACAAAGAAAACAGAGGGGGGGGGGATTGATTAAAAATAGGGAGAAGAAAAAAGGCAGTTAAGTCTTGGATGAAATGACATTTGAAATCAGATCATAGATATTAACCTTTATGGGGGATTGATTAAAAATAGGGAGAAGAAGAAAGGCAGTTAAGTCTTGGATGAAATGAAATCAGATCATAGATATTAACCTTTATTACAGTCTGCTCGCAACAATTCACCCTCCACCCCCAACATAAACAAATACACAAAAGACAATAGAAAGGAAACAAAGGGGCAAACCTTTTTAGATTCTGGGGTTTTGGACATCCTCTGTTGAAATGCATTGGAGTCCCATGTTATGCAGAACTCTGATGCTATATTTTGCATTAATTGAATTTTCTTCTCCGTCGTCACAAACTTTGACGATAGCTTTTCACGAAACTATTAATGAGGATTTAAATGATCAGTTACTGAGAGCAATGGATATAAATTGTGTACAAGGAAAGGATCTAAAAAGAATTACCTCTTGATTCACAAACAATTCCAAAGAACTCCCATATCTCTCATAAAATACATCTCTAAGGTCGCGTAACTCTGGCAAATTGTTTAATCCTGCAGCAGCAAACATCAGGGATGAAACAGCCTCCCTGCAGTCCTCAGGACAGTGCCTGTAAAGATGACCAAAAAAAATCAAGAGAAATATTCATAAAATTTTGGAATTAGTAAATTGATCTAACTTACAAAACAACTCATGTTAAAATCTTTCAGTCAAAAGAAACCATATTACCATCTTTGGTTTAAATATATCTAGGATACCTTTAGTGATTCGCACACAACAAAGTTGAATGCTTGGAAGTCATACAATTTTATTTTCCGTTTTATATATGAAAGGATTAAAAACCAATCTATCTTTTTTGGTTCTTTCAAGCCGAACACACTGTATGCCAATGGCCATGCTAATACAGATAAACATTGTCCAACTCATATTTCCACAGCAATTCATGAACATATTTGTATCACTTTTCAACCAAATTGAAATGCAACTGAGTAAATGAAAATGGGCAACCTTTTGTTAAAAACAACAAGAAGCAAAAACTCCCAGAAAGAATATGTCAAAACAGGCGCTCATTATCATAAAAGCTAACCCCAACAAAAACTTATGTATACATTGCATCTATCTTCAATGACCAACAATGTGATGGTGCCTAATCCATGCACTGGAAGCCCTTGATCCTAGCCAAAAGGCTGATAAAAGTCCAATAATGATAATTTTGTTGAAGGAGAACATGGGGCAACAAAGAGACTGTCATCCACAAGAGAACACGGCAGTGTTAAGCAATTATCTGCCTATCTCATAATTTTATATTTACCGTGAATGCCTACAGATCATATCATGTTGCTTGCAAACAATATGAACAAAGAAATATTTGCACAAAACTAAACTTGCCTGGCGAGAAAATAACCACGCATACCTCAATTTCTGCATGACTGATAGATGCTTCAACACGAAATCACAAAATTGCTCAACAAAATCATAGCAAGACAATTGGTCCAATTCAGCTAGCAGTCCCTCAGCCTGAATTAAAATTTTAATATTTCAGAAACTTACTTAAGAGCTTAGATTGGAATCATAAATAAAGAATCAAGAAAACAAAAACAATTCAATGGACTTCAACTTGGCCTAATGCTCGACCTCATTGAAGGAAGGTCAACACAAGTTCAAAATAAAAAATCACAAACACAGAAAACAGTTGGACATTTCACATTAGTTACATGCTTCTTATTTGCTTGTCAGTAAAATGATCAAATTTATATTAAATCTTGCATTCTCCTCTCTACAGAATTTATTGCAAAACTCTAAAAAAAAAAAAAACACCGAGATATTTCAGACAAATATTGCTTTCGTTTAAATTTTTCAAACGCTGATTTCTTTAATCCTCTTCCAAACTCTTTCTTTTAAGAAAAAATCCTATTTTTAACAATAAAGCATTTATCAGATCCAACAGCGGAAAACAATATCAACTTGATTACGTTAAAGAAGGAGAGAAAGAAAAGAAAGCATGAGTACTCTGCCATAAGCATTGATGTCGAGGCCATTAGCAAGGAGATCAGCCATATCTTTCTTCAAATACTTCAAAGTCGCATTTCTCTTTCTTCTTGCCACTTCGATCTGATTCTTGGTCGACTTTATCAGCGATTTACTGCCAAACCAACCATTAATCTCTCACTTTCTGTCTCTTTCAAATCATTCTTTAAACATAACATATAAAATATATTTACCACTTTGCACCAGATCCTCGGCCTAGAATCCCGTCCAGCATCTTCTCTTCTTCTTACTTTCCTTCAACCAAAAAATGCTCGAAAATGTAGATTTGATTGCAGCCAAAAACAAAAAAAAAAAAAAAGTAAAACTAAGAATTAGGCATGACTGAAGAAGCTCTCGTCAACTCTGAACAGAGGTAGAGAAGGGAAAGCTTTATGAAGTGAAAACAGTAAGCTCCAAGAAATTAAAAATTAAAAATCGTTTTTGGACACTTTTTCAAATACTAATGACTGGCACTTCGCTCAGCTATTTCGGTGATTATCTTTATTTCTTATTATTTTTTTCAATTACAATAGTGACCTTTGCCTTCCACCTTTAAGCTTTTCTAATGGAGCCCATTATTCGAACGTTATGGAGGGTAACTAAGGAATTAAATTGGATGTACAATAGCCGGCGTAATTATCTGGGGTTCGGCTCACTCCAACCGTTAGATGGGAATAGGTTTATGGGGTCCGGTCTGGAATTGACGGTCGAAGATGATTGCAATTGAAGCAATATATTCTGGTAAGCTGGACCCCCACCATTTTCTTACTTGCCTCGGCTACAATGGGAGATGATTGAACGGCCGTTTTAACGGTAAAATTACCTTGGGCTCCAACAACCACGACAGGGCGATGGTATACGAGCATGCTTCTTTTTCCTTCTTTTCCCTCGAAAATATCATCATTTTTCTTTTTAATGCTTAGCGCACTGTCTTTCCAAATTAACATCCAAATGTTCAAATATTAGGGAAGTATGCAAAAATTTAAAATTAAAAGATAATAAATTCATCAATTCAGATGTAGATAGTCTATTTAGGATCCCATTTAAAAAAATAGTTTTGACCTGAAAAAAATTAATTAATATCATGTTTGAAATCCACTTATTTGAATTCAGGGAAGATATTTTAATTAAATTTCATGCTTGTAATCACTTTAAAATGTTAAGAATTGAATTTTAAATATAATTTAATCTCTAAAAATATTACAAAAAAAAACCCATTTGATTTAATACATTGAAAAGAAAAAATTAATATTAAAACTAGTTTAAAAAAACAGCCCATTT